CAGCCAAACACTAGATGGGTTTATGCCGTGAACAATAACGTTAGGGAGATGCTCACTTATTATAGGACAGCATTTGCCCAAGCACAAAGTTCAGGGTTAGGAAAGAAGGAGGAATAGAATTGACAAGCATGGGAAGGAGTGGGTTAAGTGTTGTTACTTTATGGAGATTGTAATCAGTGACATGAAACAAAATGAACTACTAAGTGGAAAACTGATTTGCTCTATAAATTTTCACCCAATTTACAACTAAAATATTGTTTTAAAAATCCTCTTTTCCTGATGTAACTTTCACTCAACTCACAATAAAAACTTTAAAATAAATAAAGGGGGGGGGATCCTCTTTTCTCTAAACTCATCTGGGCAACATTGCCAGATGTTGACTACACCCTTTAAATTCTGAATGGAAACCCCTGAACCCTGGGCCCTGGGCTCCACTTTCCAGACACATTGGGATGGCAATTCTGTTCCCTTGGTTTTTCACAGCCCCGTTCTCCTAGGTCATCTGAGTGGAGACCCCACCCCTTTGGCCCCAGCAAGGCCTATTTCTCTGTCTCTTGGATATGCTATCCCTAAATCCTCAGCTTTGGGCAACAGCCATATCGCCCTGACACAAATGAATGGCAACCCCACATTCCGGAACTAAGTTGTCCAAGATCTGACTCTTTGAAACCTAGGAGACTGGGACCCCACCCTTTGAAATCCAGAAGACTCTATCATTTGAAACCAAGAAGACTCTGCTTCCCATGGTCCTTTCAATAGTTCTGTAGATCTCCAAGCTATCTCAGGAATGTCCATTTCTTTTCTTGAAAGACAACAGACACAGTTCCTTTGGTCTATTTTCTGTCTGTAGAATTTCAAGAGGCAGACAACATTCATTTCACTCTTTTTCTGTCCCTTTCAGTCTAAGCTGATGGATTTTCTGCTGTAGTATTGCGTTAGATCATAAGTCACTGGCTTTAACAAAAGTTTGCAAAGAATAGTTTTCATCAGTTTGTGCAGCAGATTTTTCAACTTTGCATTTTACTAAAAGTGGTAAGGAGAAACCATGTGGTCATTTTAACATCTTGCTTAGAAATGTCCTCAGCCAAGCATTCAAGTTCATCGTTTACAAGTTCTGAATTCCAATAAAAATTGGAACATAATTCAGATAAATTCTTTGCCATGGGTAACAGCATCACCCTTCCATTGCCCAATCACATGAACATCATTATCTTTGAAAATCACACCAGAAGCACATTTAACATCCATATGTCTAGTACCATTATATCACTGGCACCATATGTATTCTCAGATATTATAGAGACTTTCTCTATTTTTGTTGCTGTTAAGTGCTGTTGCATTGGTTCCTACTCATATCCACACTGTATAGGATTTCCAAGGAGCAGATGGTTGGTTTGAACCACCAGCCTTGTAGTTAGCAGCCCAGCACCACGCCAAGATTCTGACTTTCTCTATAGCTCTCCTCATTTCCTTCTGAATTGCCTTTAATGATGTCCATAATCCTAGCAACAGGCTTTCCTATGCAAGCTAGGCTTTTACTGTTGGGTACCTTAAAAACCCTTCCAGCCTCTCCCCATTATCCAATTCCAAAATCACTTCCACACTGTCAGTATTTCTCAGAGCAGCACCATCACTTCTTGATACCAAATTCTATCTTAGTTATCTTGTGCTGCTCTAACAGAAATACCACAAAGCATTGCTAAAACAGAGATTCATTTTCTTACTGTTGTTGTTGTTAAGTGCTGTTGAGTCTGTTCTGACTCATAGTGACCCTGTATAGAGTTTCTGAGGAGCAGCTGATGAGTTTGAACTGATGACCTTGAAGTTCAAACTGACTCTGTTGTCCAGTGCTTATACTAAAGTGTCACACCAGGACTCTACAGTTTAGCAGACTAGAAGTCTGAATTCATGGTGTCGGCTCTGTGAGAAGGCTTCTTTCTCTCTCTGGCTTTGGAGGAAGATGTCTCTTTAAGCTTCTGCACCTGGGTGGCCAGCATGTGGCTTGGCATTATTCATCCTCCCTCTCTCCCATGTTCCCTTATTTAATCTCGTTGATATCTCAAAAGAAATTGACCAAAGATATAGCCTACATTAACCCTGCTCCAATAACATAACAATGGTAGAGCCCAAATGAGATCATAACTACAGATATAGTGGTTAGAGGACATAGCTCAACCCATAACATTGACTATTCAGGTTAAAGGAGATCTAAGAAGCATAACATCAAATACAATAAATCATCCTTTTGGATTCTGATGTGGAAAAAAACAACAATGCTATTAAAGACTTTGGTGAACAAGTGGTGAAATTTGAATATAGATGGCTAACTTGGGAAATTCCTATGGATTTTGCTAGGTGTATTAATCAGATGGTGTCTATCCAGAAAGATAAATACTGAAGAATTGATAAAATGTCATGATGACTGCAATTCACTTGAAAATTATAGTGAAATGAAACAAATATGGTAAAATATTGAACAATTCCTGCATTTTGGGGTTGGGTCATATGTGCATCTATTGGCATGTGCTTTCTATTTTTCTGAAGGCTCACTTTCATTAAAAAGCTCAAAAAATAAGTATGAGAAAAGTTTGCTAAAATATCAGCAGTTGTTGTTAAGTGCCATCAGGTCGATTCTGACCCATAGCAACCCTCTATGGGGTTTCCAAGGAGCAGCTAGTGAGCTTGAACCACTGACCTTGAGGTTCAAAGCGACTTTGCAATCCCACAGCACCACACCAGGACTCCAAATAGAGGCATACAGTTGTTAAATATAAGCATACACATACCAATCTCATGTGTGTCAGAGTCAAACTGTGCTCTGTGTAAAAGGTAAAGAAATTCTGAGTAGTAAGTATTTTAGGTAATTCTATTTTAGAAACTTACCCAACAAAACTCCTATAAGTTATCTAAAGAAGTCTATTACTATGTGTCCATGCTTTTTAAAAATATGCTTCAAAGACGTAAAACTGAGGATCCTCTCTGGAACCTCAAACTGATTCAGTTCAATCTGAAGGAAAAGATTACCCTAAGGAGCTCTGGTAGCGTAGTGGTTACGAATCGGGCTGCGAACCTTAAGGTCAGCAGTTTGAAACTACCAGCCACTCCGCGGGAGAAAGATGAGGCTTTCTACTCCCGTAAAGATTTATACCCTCGGAAACCCTGTACAGGGTCGCTATGGGTCGGAACGGACTCAATGGCACTTAACAACAACAACAACAACAACCATGAAGTCAAGCACAAGAAATTCCAAGACAAAGGATAGTTGAACATAACACGAGTTTGAAATCTACATGTAACCTCCTGTTGTTAGTTGGCCAACCTCATGCAATATCAGATTTCTAATAATGAAAATGGTTACACTTTTTCCTTGGGAAAATTGGTCTTCTGCAGTATCACTCTCTAAGTGATTCCACTGAATTAGAAGAAAACCAGGGCAGAAAGGGACTCTTTTTTTTCTTTTCTTTTAGTAGAATTTGAAAGTATCAAGTTATAACATATTAATCCAAGACTTATGAATGAAACTATTTTAGAGGTGCAATTTTACTTCATTAAAACTCTTAACCTAGATATGAAAAAGTATCTCCTGATTAGCTAATTACTACCTAACTCACTAGCATTATTATCAAAGGTTCTTTGTACAGTATTATCCTGTCTTCTGCTCAGAACTCTGGACATTTTTTTTAAACCATCACTTATCCAAAGAATTATAAATATTCATCATTTAATCTCCTAAACCCTTATTTCAATCTTGCAATGCACACTTCAATTACATGTCCTTTTCAACAGATATAAATATATCAAATGAAACACACGAGTTCTAACATAAAATAATCTGAAATGGAGATAAGTAAGAGAACATCATGCAATGGCTTTTGTTGAGAACTCAAATTGGGACTTGTGGCCACACCTGTGAAATACCCACCACCACCTACCTCGCTTTTCCATCCCATCCAGATGCCTCTTCCCTTCCTTCCCTTTCCTAGAATGCTTGTCATCATCAGAGCCCATGTCACATTTCTCTCCACTCTCCTGTATGGCACTGAGAGAGGCAGGAGGATGCGTACGTGGCCAGAGCCATTCTAGGACTTTCCTAGTTCACACTGAAGGCTCTTCTCATGGAAGCACTTGGCCGCTCCAGTTTACACAGAGCCATGACAGACAACACCTGACAGGATGGAGAGATGATTTCACACCATCCCCTTTTTGTTTTCTCACCTCATTTTCTGCATAAAAACCTTATATGATAAATGTACAATGATAATAACAAGACAGTACATTTGTTGTACTGTGGTAGCTTACATTTTGCTATGATGTTGGAAACTCTGCCACTGGTATTTCAAATACCAGCAAGATCACCCATGGTAGACAAATTTCAGCCAAACTTCCAGAGCAAGATAGATTAGAAAATCTATAAATCACAACAGAATATTGGTCAGCATAGTGCGGAAAGATGAGCTGCACAGCTAGGTTGGAAGGCACTACACGAAGTCTGCAACAATGCACTAGAGCAAAAACCACCATGAAACAGCACAGGACCATGTTCACTAGGGTCTTCAAAAAGTTCTTAGAAAAATTCCATTATATCTTAAGTTCACTCTTCCATGAACTTTTTGAAACCCCTTGTACATAAGGTCACTATGAGTGGAATCAGACTCACCAACAGCTAACAACAAGCTTAAAAAGGTAGGGCTGCCAATGTTTTGTCTTCTAATAGGTCTGTTGGCACCTGATCTGATGGATGAATGTGTCCTATAACATCTTAAAAAATCAAACCATAGAGAAAAGTTTCATCCATCTTCTGAAAGATACCCAGGAATGATGAATGTGACAAAAAATGACACCGTGGACTACTTGTATTCATCTCTTGACTTAATCTAGTGGAAAATGAGTGAGTCCAGAAGATCAACATGCTAACAAACAACCAGACTTTCCCAAAAGTCATCAGAAGAATAGACCTCAGTAGCTTGTAGGCATTCCTCAATGGTTCTGACCTTACCTACCTGTCTCAAGTCCAGAGTGATAGTGACCCAGTGGTATTCTCTCCCGTTTTGAATACTGGGACTCTGCCACCAATGGTTGGTTCCATCTATTGCATTTGATATTGGATGTCGTTCTGTTAAAAGAAAACAAAAACATGCCTCCCTCTCAATTAGTGCTTTATATTTTTTAATGCTTCAGAACTATAAACTTGTGGAAATGAATCGCATTGAAGCTGATCACATTGTTTATGGTCTCTGTAACTGATAGAACTGTGTGCCTCCAAAATTTGTGTCAACTTGGCTTGGTAATGATTCTAAGTGGTTTCGCAGTTTTGTAATGATGTCATGTAACAATTATGTGATGATTCCCCATTATGTGATAAACCAGTAGAAGGATTATGGATGGACTGTGGTACCTTTAATCCCATCACCTGATCTGATGTAAGGGGGTTTCCCAGGGATGTGGCCAGAAACACCTTTTACCTTGTAAGTGAGTAGAGATGAAGAGACATATTACTACCAAGGAAGAAGGGCCCTGTGTGGGTGTGTCCTTGGGACCCGGGGTCCCTACACTGTGAAGCTACTAGATGCAGGGAATGGGTGATGCCAAAATGCCAAAGAGATCTCCAAGGAATGGTGGGCTTATGGATGCTGACAAAGACAAAAAGCCTTTCCCTAGAGTCGGCACTCTGAATTTGGACTTCTAGCCTCCTAAAAACAGTGAGATAATACATTTCTGTTTGCTAAACCCATCCACTTGTGATATTTCTGTTATAGCAGCACTAGAGAATGAAGACAGTCTCCTAATATAAAAGTCTGTAGTTTTCACATCTAAAGCATAAATTTCCATCCGTACTTTTGAACAGAAGAAGCAGCACTTGCCTTTGGGATTAGCGCTGTTACCATCACAGATTCTGCACTGTGGATTCCGCACAGGGCGATTGGGCACATGTTCCACAAGTTTGCAGAACATCTCAGGCCCTTTCTCACCACAGGTCGCATTGGTGCTGATGTGAGCATTGCTGGCAAGGTTGAGAATGGCAGGAAACAGTCCTGAAAGTAAAAAAAGTCACCAAATCAGAAAAAAAAAGAAGAAGAATGAAAAGAAAACTAAGAATGAAGTTACTTAATCTCACTTTGAGGAAAGCAAAAATGCAAAATTAGATTGTGATTATATGAAGCCTTGCACATGAACGAGTATAGAAGGTATACTTTATATGAAATTCTAAAACAAGCAAAACTAGTCAATGAGGCATCTTCAATCAGAACGTTGGTTGCAGATGGTGGGACTTTACTGAAAGGACACAAGGGAACTTTCTGGGGGTGTTGTTATTATTGTTAGGCGACATCAAGTCAGTTCTAATTCATAGTGACCCTATGTACAACAAAACTAAATATTGCCTGACTCTGCGCCATCCTCATCATTGTTATGTTTGAGCCCATTGTTGCTGTCAGTGTGTCAATGCATCTTGTTGGTGGGTTTCCTCTTTTTCATTGACCCTTCACTTTTCCACGAATGATTTCCTTCTCGAGGGACTATTCCTTCCTGATAGCATGTCCAAAGAACAAAAGATGAAGTGTCATCATCCTCTCTTCCAAAGAACATCCTGGCTGTATTTCTTCCAACACAAATTTGCTTGTTCTTCTGGCAGTCCATGGTACTTTACTATTCTTTGACAACACTATAACTAAAATGCAACAATTTTCTACAGTCTTCCTTATTAATTGCCCAACTTTCATATGCATATGTGGCTGTTGAAAATACCATGGCTTGGATTAGGCAAACATTAGTCCTCAAATTGACATCTTTGCTCTTGAATACTCTAAAGAGGTGTTTTGCAGATTTGCTTTAAGCAATACATTGTTTGATTTCTTGACTACTGCCTCCATGAGCATTGATTATGGATCCAAGCAAAGTGAAGTCTTTGACAATTTACATTTATCATGATTTTGTTTATTGATCCATTGGTGAAGATTTTTGTTTGCTTTACATTGAGGTACAAGTCTTTAATCTTCATCAGTACCTATTTCTGGGATAATGTAATGTTTTATATCTTGGTATAGGTTAATAACTGCAAGATCAGGAGTTCAAACCCTTGGAAACTCTATACAGGGTCACTATAAGTTGGAACCAATTGGAAGGTACTTAAAAATAATTACATGCCTGTGATTTCGGACTGATTGTAAAGTGAATTGTTAATGAAACAGGATTAAGGTGAAACTAAATATTAAGGTGGAACTAAAGATTAAGATAAGGAGCTCTGGTAGCATAGTGGTTACGAATTAGGATGCTAATCTCATGGTCATCAGTTCGAAACTACCAGCTGTTCCGCGGGACAAAGATGAGGCTTTCTGCTCCCGTAAAGATTTAGGCCTCTGAAACCCTGTACAGGGTCACTATGAGTTGGAACCGACTCCACGGCACATAACAACAACAAGGATTAAGATGGGACTAAATTCTGGTATGGCACTGTAGGATAAGCACAGGACTGCTAACCACAAGGTCGGTAGACACTGTGTGTGTGGGAAAAAGATGAGGCTTTCTGCTCCCATAAAGACCTGTGGTCTCAGAAACCCTGTGCAGGATCATTATGTGTTAGAATTAACTTCATGGCAGTGGGTTTGGTTTTGCTTTTTTTGAGAAAAGTAACACCAAAAGAACCCATTAGTTTCTTTGGAGATTTATTTTTATTTATATTGGTAAAATAGGAAAACAGTAGTGAAAATTCTACTAAGGTCTAGAAACAATGGAACACATGATAATGACAAGACATTCTAAATGAATGACATTGAACATTTTGAATTAAGAATGGGATTCTCAATTTACTGGGATTTTTCTAATTAACTGAAACTTCAGCTTCAAAGATCCCTGAAGACAGTCTTTTCTTTATAAAATCCATATGTTACTGTTTTTATGTTCTGTCAAGTTGATTCTGATTCATAGCATAAAAGGCTTCCAAAGATTGGCTGGTGGATTTGAACTACAGACCTTGTGACTAACAGTCCAGTGTTTATCCTATAGCACCACACCAGGACTCCATATAGCCAATATTATTTCTGAACGATTTTCCTTCAAGTGAAATCTTAAACAGCACAGAACAATTTTCATAAGAATATAAAGAATTCATGGCTTCAGTTTTTATTTTATAGGTATTGTCTAATATTTCAATGATCTTTCCTATTATAAATATTTTAACAATTTAAGTTATAAATTAAGAATAGGTATTTTTGTAAGAGTTGCTGCATTAGAAAACTTACCATGCAAATTTATTAAAAAACAAACACACAAACAACAAAAACAATAACAACAACAACAAGAAACCCCACAACTTATTAGGTAGCTTTTCAAAGATTTTATACATGACTTCTGCTTTAAAGAATTGTCCAATTCAAGTCAATAGACCTTGAGTCTTTCAATACAAAAGTTATTGGATATTTGTATTCTTGAGTATTATTCTTAATATAAACAAATAAGACAGACTTACATCATATACTGTGAATATATATATATATATATATATATATATATATGTTATTGTTAAGTGCTGTCAAGTCAGCTCTGACTCATAGTAACCCTGTATAGGGTTTCTGAGGAGTGGCCAGTGAATTTGAACTGCTAATCTTGCAATTCAAACTGACCTTGCAGTCCAATGCATTATCCCACAGCACCACCTATATATGTATGTATGTATGTGTGTGTGTATATATATATACTTTTTCTCTTAGACAGTGTGGTTCATTGTCCTATATGACTATAATTTTCTAGTTAATTGGTTCAACTATTTCTCATGAGACAGTCATTTTTTAAACTATAATATTTTAATCCAAACACTCCAATACTAAAGCAACGTTTTGGGTACAGCCAGCACTCTCCATTCTCTTCCCACAGACCAGTCAAGAGGTACACCTGCAGTAATAGCCCCAGGTGAGGAAAGAAACCAGGTCACAAGGCAGCAGGATTTAACAATGCATTTCTCGAGAAACAACAAATACTTTACTAGTTAACTTAAATGTTCCCACTTTCTCTTTTTCCTGCCCTCCAATTCCTAGACATAAAGATAACCACTCCCACACTCCTTCTGCCTTGAGCTCCCTCCCACTCTGGGAAGCTGCCAGGGGCCTGAGTGATCATGGCCAAGGATTAGGGTCAGGGGGTCCCCAGGCTCTCTCTCTGCAAGCCTCTACACCTCAAGTCATGGAGAAAAAGCAGCTCAAACTTCATGAACATACGCTTAACATTATTTTGGTGAATATCTCAAAACTTAGTAATCAGTATTAAAGAACTTAATTTTACCTTCATTAGCATGGCTATATATAGAAATCTTATAAAAATACCCAAACTGTCTTTCATTAAAACAAACTTTCTTTTCAGATAGGTCAGTATTTGAGGAAAAATGCTGACTACAAATTTATTGCTTGTATATTGCATTTGCTACATAGTTATAAAATAATTATTATTCATTATTGCATATACACTCCTGTTAGAAGACGAAAGTTGGAAATATGATCTGAAGAAGATATACTTTGTTTTTCCTGAAGAAAATAGTACTTATTTTTTTAAAAAGTCCCTCAGGTTGCCAAATTATTTCAATGACTACTGAAATATTCCACCAAAGAGAAACTATATGAGAATCAAGTTGAAAGAAGGGTAGGAAATAAAACAGCAAGAAAGTCTATTGAGATCAAGAAATTACGAAGACATAAGGTCAAATGAAAACAGTAGCATGATATATATGTGACATAATTTTCTCATTACTTAGTCATACAGTTAATAAATTAGGCTACACATTTTTGTTGAGAGACTTCTTTACTTTAGTTACAGTTATTTAACCAGCAGCTTAAGACAAAAGAATGCCAAAATTCATTGAGCATGAAATCAATTCCTTCTCATTCACCAGTTTGTTTTTTTTCTCTTTAATCTCCTTTTCTTCATGTCATGAATACACTTGACCTTCCTATTCACATTTTAGGACCACATTTAATCTACTGGAAAGGTCTCTTACTAATATTAGGTGAGAATTTGCCACAAAGCTGATGAACACAGAGCTACTATATGTAATTAACAAAGGTTTCAGCTGAGGAACTTTCAAATAATTTAATCACTGATTTTTATAGGTTCCTAGTTTCTTTTTCTTTTCTTTTTTTTTTTTTTTTTGTTGTTGCTATTGTTAAGTGCAATCGAGTTGGTTCCAACTCATAGTGACCCTGTATATGGTTTTCGAGGCTGTAAATCTTTATGGGTGCAGAAAAACCTCATCTTTCTCTCATGGACAAGCTCACAGGTTCAAACCACTAACCTTGTGGTTCATAGTCCAGGGCTAATCCTACAGAGCCACCACACTTCCTTCCCCACTTTATTTTACTAGCAGAAAATATTTTCCAAGTCTAAAAAAATTAAGTATCTAAAGTGTTTTGAGACTCATGCCAACCACTTCTTATTTTTCAAATAATTCAGTCAGTGGTTCAGAACTTTATACCACTTGTGTATAAGAAAAACATGAGATTTTTCAAATATTTTTTTTTTTCATTTTGAAAGAACTTTTGAATTAGACAAAATGTTATATAAGAGTAAGTAAAAAAGAATTACTGATTATACAATTACAGCAGCAACTCCATCAACTGCAGTTCATTAAATGGAAGCATTTAATAATATTCAGGTTAATAACAGCAAGATAGTCTAAAGACACGACTTTTAGGAAGATATGTGAATTAAAATTTGTTGTAGCTAAGTGCTGTCAGTTCTGACTCATAGTGACAGGGTACAATTTCCAAGCAGTGGCTGGTGAGTTTGTGGCTAGCAGTCCAGTGCTTATTCTGTAGCACCACACCAGAAATCTATGTTGGTTGGTTGGTTGGTTATGTGCCATGGAGTCGGTTCTTTTGGTTATGATTTCACAAAACCAGGAGTCTTTGGACAGGTCAGCTTCTCAGAACCTCTATTTCCCCAACTACTACATGAGTATCTCTAAGGGCCGCTTTCCTCCCACCCTCTCCCACACACAAAAAAACTGTGATCCTCAAATTTTACTTTAATAGGCTATCAGTTATTTGCC